GCAAAGCAGTAGCCAAGAGTTTATTACTTTTTTTTTTCTCCACCAGTTTCAATTGCCCAAGAATGGCAGGAACAATTCAGCGTAGATTTCTTTCCGCTATCCTGTCCTGTTTGTGCTCGGTGCATGCCTCAGAGAAAGACAGGTAGTTGTCCAAACTGCATCATTGACCTAGCACACGCAGAAACTGAAGAAAGAACAGGCCTAAGAGTACAGGGGTTGGAATGGGCCCAATGTACGGCCTGTACGGCCTTGTTTGCACACTCACCTTTCCCCATGCATCGAACAGCAGGAACCGAAGCGTCATGTGCGTCCAGATGCTACAGGTCATGCTGATCCGCGCCTTGTCAAGCACAGTGCCAGAGGGCATGTGTGGAGCCTAGGAGAAACGTAAAGAGCGTTTACTTTTTCTCTGAAAGATCTCCTTTGATACTGCATATGCATGCATATGTCCTTTTCACAACTGAGGGGTGAGACTGTTAAGGTTTTCATTTTTGTTGGGGATATCTTGTGATCCTCAACAACGTGATCCTCCGAAGAGGTTCCAGGTTCCCGTTGCACTTCAGGCCCGGACGCGTTCCCGTGTTGGTTCGTGTTTTCGGCTCCCCCACGGGGTAGCCTGAGGCCTGGTTTGTCTCTTGCAGAGCTTCTTGGGCTTAGGCGGTGGGGGCGGTGTTTATTCTCAAACGGTTAAGACGCTGACATGTCAACATTCTAGAGTCTGTTCTGCTGCAGTTGCAGATGGTACATCCGGCGTTGATGCACTTTCAGATGCATATGCCCCAGTTCAACAGATGGTGTCTCTGCAAGCAGGTGCCTCAAAACAGTAGTACCTTTTGCACTTTCGTTCGGTGTTTCTGATTTAGTTATACTATACACAGTAATTATTAGTATATAAGTTCTGTCACGACCAGGAGCACTGTGCTCGCTGATAAGTTTGGATGAGCTTCGCAGGTGTGCTTTCGTAACCACGGTCCGAAGGCCAAGTGAGGCCAAGTGTTGTGGAGCTTTTGGGTTCCGAAACCAAAAAGAAGAAGAAGAACACTGTAGAATTCCTTTGACAAGAGGGAGGTCAGGAAGAAGGACCCGTGTCTCATCAGTGTCTTGTTGTTGCTGTTGTTGTTGCTGCTGCCGCTGGATGTGACATGATCTCACTCTATAGGGCATTCCGCAACAAACTGGGTTATAACTACACTCAAGGCTTGGAAAGCTACTATAAAGATATCTTGGAAACAGTTCATTCATTGCACCTGCTTTCGAACATGTTGATAGTTTATGTCAAAGAAGCAGATAAGCACCAGAAAAGCAGTAAAGGAATCCTGTTTGGCTGAGGCCAGTGTGAACTGTGTGCTCTTGACCGCGTCTCTTTTCTTGGGACCTCTTGCCACTTGCCACAAACATGGTGGATCGAAACAGAGAGGAATCAATCATGTGATCGTGTTGGGAGAATCAATAGGACTAAGGTCACTCACAGATCTTCTTCACTCCTCACATGATGCAGTGTCGGAGAATCATGAGAAGGCAATGCAGTGCCACCTCTTGATCGCAGCAGAGAGAAACCCAACGCTGTCAGCAAGTGTGAGGTGCAACATTGGTTTACTGTGAGCCAAGGCAGGGCGCCTGAGATGTTTGTGATTTTGCCCCGGATCGTACAGTGACTAGAGCATGTTCAGCCTGACGATTTCTGCCAGGAGAATCCAAGTTCCTCTTCTCAGTGGAAGCAGGCACTATGGCTTCAGTGCTTCCAGAATGGGCACCTTTCATTGTTAAGACATTTTGGCCCGGAGACCTTGCCTTGTTGTGCGAAAGAACCGGGACAAGAACCGTCCGGCTTTTCGTCGGCCTTGTCCATGGAACGCACTGGCTCACCACAAGGAGACAAGAAACACCAAGACCCTGCCTGGCAGGCTTTTGGGTCCTCACTCGAAACTTGATCCTGGCACCCATCACCGAGGAGACACCTCCAGGGGCGCAGGGTTGGCGGGCCGTGCGTGTCGCATCGTTTGGCGATGGAAAACGCTCGTGGCGTGGGTTGAGCCTCCCAAGGAGCTCGTCTTCCGAGCCTGCTTGGTGCGCTTGTGGGTTGGGAACTTGACAGTCCGCGTATGACTTGGAACATGTCAAGAGGTGTGAAGACGAGAACGAGTTGGAGAAGAGCTGGTCTCTGACCAGCTTTTTCCAGAGTGCGGATATATATTGGGATACGATTGGATGACCATCCTACATGCACCACTGATTTATCAGAGCAGATGGTGTTTTGAACATTGCAGCCAACAAGAACAAACAACGCTTCAAATACAACACAGCCCAGTCTCATCCCTCCTCTGAGATATATGTGTAGGTTGGATCCTGCCCCTCCACGAACTACTAAACCTCTTTGTCTGCGGGAAGAGCACCAAAGAGGCCTGGACTCAGAAGCTAGCTGGGTCACAAGCTGGCCTCTTGGTCTTCCCTTGATGCCCTGGAAGAGACCCACATCGAACCTGAAAACCACTCGTTTGTAGAGGAATATAGTCTTCCAAAGGTCCATTTTCAGCTTTGTTAATCTTCCCGGAACTTTCCGGGTGCATGTTTTCTTGCTTCCTCGAAGTGTCCCATCCATCCCTTCCATTGTTTGTTATTCTTGGTAGCCACTTTGATGTTCCCTCTGACGTGTCTAACCCTTTTCTCTCTTGCCAGTGCTACCTCGTCAGTCACGGTCCCTTCAGCCTCCTCATGTAGCTTGTCCTTTTTGGGGACGGCCTTCTCCACTGGCCCTGTCCAGCTTTCGACGCCTTCCTGTCTCAGTTTGTGCGCCATGGCTTTTCTCGTGCAGAGAGCCGCGCAAGTCGTCTGGTGTGTTGCAGGCCTTCTCAGTCTTTTTCATCTGGTCAAGACTAAAGACATCTAAAAACACTATTGTTTATATACGCCTGTGCCAAGAAGGACCACTCGGACATTTATATGTGAGTTTGTCAGACTTTTTTCAAAAGGGATTGTATCTTATATACATGTTCTCAGACCCTTTTAGCAGCAAAAGTTGTTTTGCGTATTCTCGTCCTTAAGATTGTGGTTACAAGTCGTCTCATGTGCTGATCCAGCGGTGAGACGACCCGATCCAGCAAGGTCTCGGCCTCCTTTCCCTTGAGAACCATCATCTTCTGCAGCCCTTTTTGCTTCGTGGGGATTCCAAAGAGGCACAGCATTTAGCCTGACATGTTGATAGGACTTATGAAGCAAGCAAAGCAAGCAGTTTCAAGCAACTTCTAGGATTTGCAAAGGAAGCTTGGAACATTGCCAGTCACAGCTTTTTTTGAGCGACAAGTGCTTGCTGAGCTTGCTCTTGCCAAGGCCTTAGCCCACACACATCACTTCATTGAGCATGTGAGGAGGACAAGCGAAGCTGCCTTTTTTTTGGATGCGACAAGAGCTTTGGGGAAAGGACGTGTCCAAAACCCAGTCTCATAGATGGCAGGAGTCACATCGGACACCTCGTTCAAACAAAGGTCCAGAAAAAGCCAAGCAGGAAGACTGTCCAAAGGAAGACTAGTTCATTGCGAGAAGTATTTGAGGACGAAGAGCAAGAAGACTGCGCTGCTGCAGGCCTAACTTTGCATTTGGTCATTCAAGCATCGATGTATCGATTTGCATGTAGATGACTGGAGTGTGGCCTTCCAAGCGGTGGTAGAAAGACCTCCCATGTGGCCACATGCTGACTGCAGGTTCTCTTCCAGGTCCTGTTCTCAACCTTGGAAGCCTTGCCGTGTTTTCTCTGGCCATGAGAATTCAAGAAGCACTTCTTTTGTTGCTGCTCAGTTGGCTTCATCAGGTCTTCTACACATCCTTGTTTGGGATTTATTCCAATTTCCTGCTGATCAGGACTGGCGTTGTCCTAGAGATCGTTATGTACATGAGATTTCAGGGTTGTTGGGTTGTTCTGACTCCTTGCCTTGTGTGATGTCGGCCCGACTCCTTGCTCGCATCAGTTTTTTTTGAAGGACTGGCTCGCTGATAGCTGTGATTCTGGCCCACACTTTCTGCAACCACCAGGCGAGTATTTTGCAGGAACTCTTCGCAAAGGGTTTTCGATCGAACGCGGTTGCTTGCTCATGTTTGCTCACACATTTTGCTGAAAGAAGGCATGTTGACTCATGATTCAACTCATGGTCCTCAAACGTAGCATCCCAATGTCATGAACTCGGTCTGCTCGAGGGCTTTCCCGACATCACCTTCCTCATCTCTAGCACCGAATGGTTGCACGAGCCAATCCCTCAAGATATTGCCCAGCCATGTGGACGTGTACCTCAATTGTTGGAACAGTTGCAATGATTGCTGGAGAGGAAGCTGGGAAGCTAAGGCATCGGAAGTGGCTGGGCGGAGTGTACGTTTGCGGGACTGTGCCAACTTGCAGCGGATTTGCCCTTTGTTGAGTAACAGTTAAGTAGTTTGATCGACTAGTTGAGTTGCCCAGACTATCATTCTGCGCTTGTGATTTGATGATCCCGCAGGATACTAGCTTTTGCCTGTCTTGCTGGGCCACTGAAGCTTGGCCTTTTGCAGAGCATCCATTTGGACTTCAGCAAGCTAGATGCTTCTCCGGTCATTTCCAAAGCTTAGACGCAAATCCAGACTTGTCGTTTCCAGACTTGTAGTATATATGCAGAAGTGTATTGCTGATTCTACAATTGTTTTGTTCCTATTCCAAGGGTGCTTTACTATTTTATTTTACACTTCAGTATGTCCCTTGCTTGTTCTCAACCAGAATGGAGAAGTGGGGTCCCTGTTGATTCAGCAACTGGTCTAGTGCGAGTGCTTGCCAAGGACAGCTGGCTTTCCATCCACTTTCGTGAGCAAGTGAAATTTCTGCACGAAAGAGAGCTTCGGAGAAGCAGAAAAAAGTCAGAGAGCTAAATCGATCATGTGGTGCCAGCAAGTGTGGTGCCAGTACGTTGGCTGCCAGTCTTCAGAGCCTGCATTTCTGAGAAATCCCTCGGCCTTGGCGCCTCGGCAGCCGAGCCGGCACCATGCCGGCACCTCATGGTGGACGTTTGCTCACACAGGAAATGGTCGTCGCAGCAAAAAGGGCTCAAGCAGTGAGACATACAGACAGGTTTTCATCTCATTGCAAGCTGGAGAGGGCAAATTCACTTTAGATGCTCCCAACAATTTTGAAGCGGACGAATTACACCCCTTAGCCTATATAGCTTTCTTCGTTGCGTTCCTAAAAGTCCCAGACAACTTCATTGCCAGGACCCACTAGGAGACAGGGCGATGCACAAAGTTGCCAGAACAGCCGTGGCTGTAAACAATGCGCGTGCAGCTTTCTTGAGGCACGTGAACCAATGGAGCCTGGAATCATTGTGAGATGTCAGCAGCACTCAGAACACAAGCTGTGGGAGCATGTACGGCCTCTAAATCATGTCAATTTCAACACAAGCTAAGAATTTGTAGGGTACATATTATTTATATCATATTATTATGTCTCATCCTCCCAAAAGGGCCTTTGCTCTTTTCGCGTGACGCATTGGGGCTTCTTTTTTTTGCTGCGGGGTGTCGTCTCATTGAGGCTTCGGAAAGATGATTTGCGCAGTGAGATGGTTCCCTTAGAAGAGCCCTGGAAGCTGCTGAAAAGCCTTGGCAGCTTCAAGGCGCGCAAAAACCTGACGCGTTGGCGGGCTGAGAAGAGGTCAATTGGGGTGAGGTGATGCAGTCCCGTCTGAAGGATTTGCCAGTGATCTACGCTCAGGGAACTCATCAGCCCTGTGTGCCAAACTGGTTTGACATTGGAGACCTCCCAGAATTTTCTCCTCCATTTTGGTGGCAAAAACGACCGAGAGCTGATGTAGCAGGTCCCAGAGCTTTTGTTCTGACCAACTCAACTCACCCGTTGGTGACACGTGCCGTTCATCCTGTTCTTCCCTTAGTAAGTTCCTCGATGTACCTCGACCCTCGTGACCTGACAGCCTCAGGACAATGAGCTCAGAAGCATCTTTGATGCTGTGGGCGTTGTGGCCGTGACCTGAGCTCTGTTGGCATTCTGTGACCAGTGACCTGAGCTGTGTCTGAAAAGAGCATGTGCCACAAGCCACTTGAAGAAGGACAACGGAGAACATTGCATGAACATCCAAATCTATCAGAATGGTGGGATCCTCAACATTCGGGTTTTGTACCCTGCCTCGAGAGCTCCTCCCTCGAGTCCTCGAGCTGGGAAAACCCCAGGGACGAATCCTGAATATCTTCTGTGAGAACTGCCAAATCACATCAAATCACCTTTGCATGTGAACTCTCGGCTGTATTGGTCGCCCTTCAGGATGGCTGTGTATCCATGGAGGACCTCTTCGACTGGATGCAAGATGACGATACGCCCCTCGCTGCACGGGTGAAGGCCCAGTGGATTGGCCCGTTGACCCACGTGCTACCGGACACACTGCATGTGGCCTGGTGCCGGGAGCAGACGGTTTGTAAAGTGAGAGCACCAACCATTGTGTTGACAAAGGGATTCTGTCGACCTGCAGCCAAATGGCTCAAGCTTCCTCTTAGAGCGATCAATCGGCCCTGGAAGATTTGTCTCTTGAGATCCCAAAAAACCTTCTCAATCAAGCAAGTGCCCTCCAGCTTCTTTTGCCAGTGCAAAAAGGGGTATATAAGCAGGGAAAGGCAACCTACACGAAGAATCGATTCCAAGAAGGACGCAAAGGGACTGATGCTGCCTTGTATTGTTGTGCCGGCCGTGCCATGGCAGAGCCAACCCAGCCACAGCTTTGGAAGCCGCCCATCCATTGACCGAGGACCACACGGTCTGAAAGCCGAAGCCTTGCAAAATCCTTATTCACCCACCGTCACCCAGAATTTGAATGTGGCTCACCAATGGTTTTTCGGGTTTTCGTATGGGCAGGTCTTCAAGTGTCGACTGCAAGATAAGAGAGACTTTCAATTTGTCGCTCTGGGGGTGCGTTCCCGCCTCACGGTGAGGAATCTCAGGACGGCAGCTCCCATGGCGTTCTGCGGCGGCACTGGTGGCGAAACACCTCTACGGCAAGAGGCGGGCTGGACTGCAGCCTTGGCAATGTGATGAATGTTGGTCAGGAAGATGGATTTGCTGTGAGCAACATTGACATTGATGACTTTGCCATCCAGTTGCAATTGGAGCTCATAGAGCCAACGGATTTAGCCGTGCAGACTGGCCTCTAGTTACTTGAGGCACAAGCGCACCATATGTCCTGTCGTTTTGCACAGAACTTTCGATTCACAGAACTGCAACAGGCGGTGGATCAAACGAGCTGCGCTCGTGCAGGATGAGGATTCGCTGGCAGTGCAAAGGTGGGCTGCTGGGCATGGATCAGCAAGCTTTGTTGGGGTTCTTCTTGAAGCCAGAATATTTGAGGATTTTGGGACACGAACCGCAGAAACGCATGAAACTGCTTCTTCTCTTCCCGGCACCGAGGTTGATACCATGATCTTGGGCCTGGACTTGTGCCCCTTCGCTCAGGCCCCGGCCCAAAGAAACGGCCTGAAGGTCTTGAGCAGCACTGGATGCAGTGGAGAAGATGTGCTTGAGGATTTGCAGTTCGAGGCCGAGGGGGGTGGAACCAGTGAAACCGATGGATTCCTATATAGTCATGGAATAGCTTCTAGTTACTAGTTACTAGTAAGCACTTGCTCTTAGTAGTAAGGCCAGGAGCCCCTAGTAGCGTCCTTGCTCCTAGTATATAGTAGGGCCAGGAGCCCCATGGTAGCGTCCTAGTCATGGAATCCCATGGAATCCTAGTTGGCTTGTTTGAGCCACTTTGGCTTGTTCAAAGCTCGTTTTCCAGAGGGTCTTGCCAGCTGATCGCTCTGATTACCCTGTTGTATGTCTGTACACCTGTACTGATTGGTTTCTTTTGCGGTGCATGGTCATCGATAATGCTTTTCTCACTTGCTACTCATCTGCTCTATGATCATTTTGTTGGTTCTTGGTGCTTTGCTCGCTCGGTCACGGTTCGTTGGACATCAATGAGTCGGCTCATAGACGTTCTTTTCGCAGTGGGTAAGTGCTGAGCCCAAGGCCGAGATCCTGCAAGCACAAGATCCTGAAATGCCTGCGACCACGCTGCTGGTCTGTGGCCATGTGCCAGAATGGCTGGACCGGCGCTTTTCGATGTTTGGAGCGACCAACCGAGGGCGGCGCCGCAAAATGTCACAAAATGAGTGGTGAAACCAGCAGACTGGGCGGCACAATTTACTGAAGGGCTGCGATTAGAAAGAAGTCAACATAAATGGGTGGTGGTTGTTGTCAGTGACCCATGACCCATGACCCAAGGTGCTTCTAAAGAGTCACATGAATAAGTCGACTTCAACCTCCAAATCCCACATCCCATCCTCATGCTTGGCGCCTCATTGAGGTCATGCTTGGCTTGTAGTGCCTGTGGTGTTTGTTTTTTTGTTTTCGTCGGTGTCCTGCAGCGTTGGTGTATCCGGAGGACTTCAATCAATTCCATGAGTTCTATGCTCGGGAGCTTCAGAATGGACGTGTGCTATCGCGCATGTTGGGCCTGGAAGTAGCAATTGTTGCCTTTCACCCAGACTGTGACTTGGTGATTTAACACGTCAGGGCCTGCAATTTCTGACTTGAACTGGGTCGTGGTTTGTTGTTTGTTGCACAGCTAGAGGGACAATTTATGATGTCATGGGATCTGGAATTCGGCACAGTCCTTTGTATTGATGGGACATTCTGCCACCCAAAACAACTGAAAAGCCTAAGTTCCACCCTCTCCAGTTCGACAACCCAACGCAGCGATCGTCTTGAAGTCTTACCGTCGTCTCAATGGCCTCAGGTGCCAGCTCTGAGCTAGTTGCTGGCGGTGAGGTGGCTGTGCAGTATGATGGTGAGACCTGTTTGGCCCAGGTGCTGAAGGCGAGGCAAAAAAACGCACTGGCATGTGCAATCAGTGTTGAAAAGTCACACAATCAATGAGACTGCACTGGCAAGAAAGGCCTGCCCAAGGCCGGCCATGGGCCATTGCCACACCTTCGAATCCGCCGACTCGGACGGCTTTCGGATTCACGGTTCAGCGGTTGCGGTCGGGTCTCGAAGCCTTTCATGTCTATAGAAAGAGTCTTTCAAGACCCCATGAGTCCTTGAGTCATGATCAAATCGTCATGAATCCATGAAAAACACGAGTCAACGATGGTTCGACCGTGCATGTTTCACGTGTCAGGAAACGGACCGTGAGATGCTCTCAGTTCGCCTTCTGGGTCGAATCATTGAGAGCACTTTGTCCGAGGAGGAGGAGAACGGAGAGTGGGATAGAGAGAGAGGGAGAGACAGAGACGGGTGCCACGTGTGAGACAGGTGCTTGGACACCTGCTCTCCCCTTCAAGATTTGTATTGATCATGGGACGTGGTGGAACCATGAAAGTAGTGAAAGTATCCATGTCGGGACCCTCTGTATGGTCTACAACCTTGAGATCAAAAACTGCAAGCACGCCGAGCAACTCCAACTCAATCAGAGTTCCTGGGGAAAAACACATGGAAAAACAATAGAGATGTCCTGGTCAAACAAGCAACATCCTCAGACAAGCATGGGTCTCATCTTCCCCATTTTTAGGCACAGATCTTTCTCCTCAGCTCCCCGGTGAACGCCGGTCCGAGCGCCCCGAGCCGAGAGCGCTGGTGACCCCGAACCCCAGAGGAGGGTGAAGATGTCGCGATCCAAGCGTTCGACCAGGAAGAGGAGGTGCGTTCGACCTGCAAGTGAAGAAGAATGACTGATAAAAAAAAAATTATATATATATATATATAGATAAGCAATGATAAGCACAAGTAAGTATTGTAGATAAGCACAATTGTATTGTCAGTACATGTTTGTATAGAAAAACGAGTATACACACATGTGTAATTTTCAAGTTGTAAACTTAGTCGTCTACAGATGAGAAGTGCACCTTTTCATCCTCAGGTGCTGTGCCGCCGCAGCGACGTGCTTTGGGCCCTGGACACCGACTCGGGTCGAAGCGGAGCCGACGCCCGCGAGGCGCTGGCGCGCGCGCCGCGGCCGGTGCTGCACCTGCTGCGGAGCAATGACCTGGCGCGAGTGGCGCAGGAGGAGCGGGAGGAGGTCTATCGACACAACGCGCCTGAGCAGCAGGAAACGTGCCATGACATGGGTGACAGACAGCTGGGTATTGAAGCAAAGCTGGAACTGATGATGAGCTTCTATGAAAGGGAGAACCTCGAAATGCATTGGCAGCTTACAGCTCATCTGTGAAGCAGAATCAAAACGTGGCTTTCTTCAGCAAAATCAGCAAAATCTGTTCACAATGCATGTGCAGAGAAAGGCAGAAGCTCAAGTGCCAAGCTGAAGCTTCTATCCATTCTGCTGGTAACAACAAGAGCTGAAGCAGTGGCCTGACAACGTACACACTAGAAGCATTTTTGTCGGACATCAAATTATTTCTGTTTCAATTAAGATGTCATTTGCTTATAATTTAGAGTTTAACAAAACCATTAATAGACTAGTACCATAGAAATCTTCCATAATTCATTTATTTTGTGAATGAAATTGAATGAACCACTTAATTGGTGCAGTGGTACAAAGCTTCATGCCACTTCTGGGTTCACTCCAACCTGTTTTAAGTTGTCTCCTTTGAGGTGCCTGTTTGATTGAATCTCATCCATTTGAAGGGGCGTTTTGACCGCAATGCTTTGCGCGCACGAGTCAGGACCATCTGTTGGATCGAATGGGCATCGATGCCTTTGAAGAGCTTATCCGGCAGTGCGGATAAAAGAGTTTTGCAGTTGCTCGCCGGTCCTGACTTTTTTCAAGCCTGAGAGTTCGGACATGAAGAACAGCTGGTCGGTGAGAAGGATTGAGAGGATTCTTGCTGGAAATCGGAACTATCAAAGGAAGTGTCACAACAGTTCTTTGCACCAGCTGGAAGGAAGATGTCAAGAGGGCAGGAAGAGGTCGCTTTGTCAAATTTCGGTTTTCGCAATCCAATCTAGACTTCCCAAACACGAACTAGAGGTCTAGTAAGAGTATATGCATGATTTTTCCAGTATCGGTCGCTGAGAAACACCGGAGGCGATTTCTTTTATTACCCTGAATGATGAACTTTGAAAGGTACAGAACATGTTGTCGTCTGCTTCCTTGACCAAGCCAGATGCTTCGTATGAAGACTTTTGGCACCCGGCGACCCCCGCCACGGCGACCACCGCACCTTGCACCTCCCTCGCTTACCTCGCCTCAGTCGCGCTCGGTAGGCGGCCTTGATGCCTGGTTCAGATGTCCGGGGACTCGAGCCATAGTTCCCCCCCTGTAGAATAGATCACCCGGCCACTAGTAGCGAACCTTGCTAGTAGTCATGCCGCAATGCCCTTGTTACTAGTAGCGATGCACTTGTTACTAGTAGCTCTCTTTTCTTAGACGCCGGAGGGATCCTCTGCGCTTCATTCAACCAGCAGTTCGCTGAGGAGAATCCTGAGACGATCCTCTACAGCTTTTGTGTGCCAGGTAGCGCAAACCTCAGGTCTGGTTTCAGTTTGGCGGGCTTCTTCGCCTTAGCTCAACTCAACTGCTCGGCCTTTTCAGTGGAGATCTGCGTTTCCACACCGGTTTGAAGCGCAGAACTGAGGTTTGGAGTGGGATGGCAAGACTGGCCCTCAGTTCTCAGGACCCGCTGTGGGGCAGACCGGTTCCGCACCTTGAAGACCGGTGACCGTAGACACTGGCACTGGTGTTTCCAATCTGTGATTTTGAAAACAGCAACCGTTTCCTGTTCTCTTTTGTTTTTTGTGAACTTCCGCCCTGGCGGCTCGCCGTAACTTCACCAGGTCCTTCTTGAAGCTGTGCAAAGACACTGGCATCATCGACAGCTCCTTCACGGCCGTGGATGCGGATCTCACCTTTGCCAAGGCAGCTTGGGTTATATTCCTCAAACAGTGTGGTAACACTAGGTAGTAGTTAAGGGCTGGTGTTTAATCGAGGTGTTGCATCGGGGCGTTTGTGGTGCCGTGCGCATTTTCGGACACGGTGGTCACTTTTCGTGGCAGGCTCAAGGGAAACCTCGTGGGTCCCAAGTCGACTTTTCGTGACAGGTGCAAGGGATCGAAGCGCCTTTACTTCGATGTGTAGATTTCGGCAGGCGCAGCACTTTGGACGTGGTGGTAATCTTCGACGTGCTCTGATTTCGTGACAGGTGCAGTGAACCGCGACTTTTGGACATGTGGCTCGTTTTCAGAAATCGTGGCAGGTGCAGTACTTTGTGGACCTTGAAGTGCAGATTTCGTGCCAGGTGCGGTGCAGTACTTTTGTGGGCCTTGAGTTGCAGATTTCGCGGCAGGTGAAGTACTTTGTGTGCAGACTTCGTGGCAGGCGCAGTACTTTGTGGACCTTGAAGTGCAGATTTCGTGGCAGGCGCAGTACTTTATGGACCTTGAAGTGCAGATTTCGTGGCAGGTGGGCCTTGAAGTGGAGATTTCGTGGCAGGTGAGTGCTTTGTCGACCTTGAACTGCAGATATCGTGGCAGGTGCAGTGCTTTGTGGACCTTGAAGTGCAGACTTCGTGGCAGGCGCAGCACTTTGTGGGCCTTGAAGTGCAGATTTCGTGGCAGGTGCAGTACTTTGTGGATCCCAGCTTAGGCCCCCATCCACCACCAATTACCACCCACCACTATTACCATCACCACCATCACCATCACCACCATCACCACCAATCACCATCACCACCATCCCACCATCACCACCACCACCATCACCACCACCACCATCACCACGATCTCCACCTTCATGCACCACCAGCACATCTCTGCACCCAATGCGTCTACATCTCTAGACTTTCTGCTGCTACACCTCACACGCTGTTTGGGGTCTCTTGCCGGGAGGGTTTTTTCAAGTAGAAACTTGCATATCATCGTAATAGCAACCAACCTGATAGCAATGGCCTCCTTCCCTCACCATGTGAATCGCGTGGAAGTGAATCGGAGCAGCTTGATGCGCCAGGTGTTGAAGAAGGGCCAGAGACGGCTCAGTCTCCCACAGTTGCATGAGGCACAGGATTGTGGAAGAATGTGTCAACTCTTCCCAAACAGGCTGGAGGCCCCAAAGGGCATGTTCCCATAGATCTATGCAATCTTTGTTTTCTCAAACGTTGGCTTTCCAACGTTGCCCTTCCCCTTGAAAATCGAGCTCTCTTGCACGCAAGCCTCGCAGCAGCTGCAGTTCCCCATGAAACAATATTTCGACATTTTCCTCTTGCCCGTTGATCTGATTTGGGATAAACATGTTTGATCTACATGTGTGCCCATTGCACATGGCAGCGTCCAAACTTCGTTTGTCTTCGAGAGGCGCTTACAGCTGTGGCAGCCAAGAAGGGCGTGCGGGTGCCCGGTCAAGACCCTGAAAACCATTGGGTTTTGAAATGTACGAATAACTCTTGCTTTGCAACCCGCACGAGTGGCATGTGGGTGTATTTTAACAGGGGGACCTACCCAAGTAACCTGACGCTAGATTGTACGGCCCCATATACGCGGAAATGTGTTTCACTTGTTGAACATGTTTTTTTGACTCTCGGCCCCGCAGCTGGTGACGCTGGTTGACGCTCGCGTAGTCCGCGTTCCGCGAGAAATTCCGTGGGTGCCAAGATGGGTCACCGGCCAAGTTGCGAAGCGCGGTCAGCCACAGACGCGGTCCAGAAGTACAACCCCAAAACGTTTACGAAGAGGACGCAGGAAGAAGCCTGGAAGCACATGAGGCACAGCACTCTGCAAACGCTTCTAGGGGATTGCATTTTGTGATGCTGTGATTTGGATGTATAGAGATTGAGAACCGTTCAAGTGCTGATCAGCTTGCTAGTAGACGAGTCATTTCTCATCAACACTACTTGGATCAGCTTGGAAATGACTATCTATCTTGCTGTTTGAAGCTGGAGTCGAATGCTGAGGACGTGGACAATGCTGTTGGCTTTTGGTTCAGCCTCCTCGACGAGCGCGTGAACGCGCACCGTTCACCAGCTCAGCGCCTTGGCCCCAATCCCCCTGAAAGATGCAGTTCACGACCAAGTGAGACTCGACTCAGTCTGTTTGACTGGGTTTTGAGTGGGTTGCAAGGTTTTCCTTCGCTTTTCAGTTCTGAGTTCCTTGCGGGTGGGGGATCCCCTTCGAAAGACCCGCCGACATGAAATGAAAGGCTCTGGATGGCAACCAGATGACTCGTTGAGTCTCTCCATGGCATGTTCATCGAGTTCAGTTGAACGTTCTTGGGATTTTCGGATGGATTTTGGGAGACCAACATCTTCGTTCTCCTTTATTTCGTGTGCAGCAAGATGGGCCACTGGCTGCTAGCAGCTGCCAATGATTTTGATCGGCTTGGATTGAGTCCAACCGGGGTTCAACCAGTTGTCCACAGAGTCTTTCACCGTGGTCCTCGCCCCGTTGGTCGTTCTACCAACCGCAACTCCTTTGCAGAGGGAGACACACTCAACTGCGGTTGTGTGATGAATGGGTCCTTTAGAGATCAACCAATTCGACCGTACGACGGTCCAACCGAACGCGTGAATCGGCGGGGCACCGATTGAAAACAGCCGGTCTGTTGGGGGCAGCCCAGTTACAGTAACGGTCCAAGCAAGTGACGGTCCAAGTGCCAGGATCTGGGAGGTTTTGAAGCAAATTGCTCAAGCCACGGATTACTTCAGCGATTGCATCCACGGCATCTTCGAGGATCCTGTGGGCGGGTCACAGTCACAGTGTATCCAGTGGATGGGACGAAGGACCGCTCAGCTTTGGGTTGAACGTCTTTTTGTTCACCCTTTTTGTGGGCTAGGAGTATTTATGCTTATTTGCGATCAAAGCATGAATTCATGCTTAGCCTTGGGTTTTTGATTCCATTTGGTCTTTTGATGTATTTCTCGTTTCACGCCCACGAACAACGCCTCACCGCGGGTGCGCCGCGGGCACCGTGCCGCCGGTGCAGCGCCCTGTGCAGGACTGCGGATGGCCATCCAGGGATTTTCACCAAGAAGGGACCTGAAGACACTGGACCTGCGGCCGAGGATGCGGACTATGCAGATCTTGTGATGATCTACCTCTTCGCAGACGCTGCGACCTACTCAGCAGTGCCATTGCCGTCATTAGCGAGTCCGAACGCCGTGTCCCAAAGGCCACTCAAGAGGACTTGCAAAGACCATCTTTGTGTGAACTTTCGGCACTTGCAATGTTGCGCAGTTGATCCGGTCATTGCGGGCTAAGACCGCTGTGAGGTGAAGCATGTGGGGAGACGACGCTGAATGCGACAAGGAGTATGTAAACGGTTATACAGTATACACGTATGAATTGTGGTGGCAACTTTGGGTGTTTTGACTTCTGAGTCAATGGCCGCACTGTCACACTCCCCCCTTCCAAAGCTTCCAAGTGGGCCAAAAAGGGACATCTTCCTTGCACATCAGCGACACTCCCCACACAACCCTAGCCAATGCCAAGATCCTAATTCGGCCAATGCACAAAGAATCCAAGCTCATGTGATAAAAAGATGTGCTTTGCCGTCGCCCCATGGAGTCCATGCAGTTTGGCGGGTGAACCCGCCGGCTTGCTTCGCCTCGAGCAGTCCAAGCTTAGCCACAATTCTTGTCTGGTTCTAAGATCCTCCACATAGATGTCACAGCTGCGCCCGGTCCTGGTGACAAAAGGCAACATGTAACAGGGAGGTGCCTCATTTTTCCCAGTTTTCCCAACACATCTCCACTTCCCCCTTGAACCAACATCTCAGATTTTCCTTTCTCCGAACGAGAAGGGTCTCCCCCAATTGATGTTGCGCCGCCCCACGGTGCTCGGTTCGCGTGCCTGGTCCGCCCGGTCCGAGGTGGAGCGTGCCGAGCTGCTGGCGGAGGTCGCCGCGGCCCAGGGTCCGAAGCTCACGGGCACCAAGGCGTCGGAGTGACCGTGGGAGGAGACAGGTGGTTTGCTTGGGTCCGTGGTCTGTGAATCAAGGGTGTTATAAGGAGTGGTGAAGACTGAATGGCCTTTCAACGAGCAACATCCGTTGGCCATTGGTCCTGGACTTGCGAGATGCTGTGCGCGGTGACGCAATTCCATCCAGCAAGGGGACTAAAACATGCTTGCCACCATGCAGGTAGTTCATGTATCCAATGATGTCCTGCGGTCGGAAGTATCCCATGATGTCCCTTTTGTTTTACGTTCACGTCGAAAAGCTTGAATGGCTTCAAAGATTCAATGAATCTCACTGACTGGCTGGCTTCAGATATGCTGATGACACCAGCCACACCGAGCGAACAGCGGTTGCAATGCTAAATGAGTTTGGTGTTCATCCACCGTGCCATGGAGGTTGTGCCCCTGCGGCTGTACGAGAAGCCTGGCTCGAGCCAAAGATTTTTTAAAGAAGGCTTGGATGATTTTTTTCGATCCTAGTTCGGCGGCCTCCTTCAGCGGCCTCGTTCAGCTCGTGGGGTTCCCCCTGTGAGCTGGGATTCAGTGGTCAGATCTCACAGCTCGTAGAGGTCCGGACGATGCGTCAGGTCTGTGAAGCCAAGGTCCCATGGTGCGCAAGAGCTCCACTGTGTCGAGCTCCTCAGGCGGAGAGTGGGGCGCGGGGAGCGGGAGGGTGCTGTGTCATTCGGAGCAAGCGGGTCGCATGTGTCTTGTCGACTTGTGGGAAATGTAGACGTCAAGCCAGTTCCTGCATCCCCAATGTCTGGTAGTGGACCGCACATTTTGGGATTGTTTAGGTCTGTTTTCTCCAGAGATGGCAGGTGGAAGGCCCTGAACAAGGCCGAATCACAGCCCGAAGGAAGGCATCCTGGAAATAACGTTAAAAAGCAATTTCTTCCAAGTATGCTTCCCCGCCGTGCTTCTTCAATCTTCTTGCTCTTTGTTTTCAGGCCCGATCTCCGCAAGGAGTGGACAGCACAGGCCGGCAGATGGGGGACATGGACGGCAGTGGGATATCCACAGACCAAAGATCGGGATGACATAATTCATCCCCCATGCCAGAGACTGGGTGATGGATAAATGGTGATGGGGGTCCTGGCAGCAGCTGGTTTTTTGATCCAAGACAGAGCAACAAAAACATCCAGGTTAACCCGTTTGACCTCAAACATATGGTTGTCGATCTAAAGGTCCTAGACAGCATTGTGTATGACTATGATCCGGAACATATCAAAATCTCATTTGGCGAAAGTTTTTTCTCGAGTTGGCGAAAGTAAATATTTTTTTGGCAAAAGATCTGGCGAAAGATTAAATATGTACTTTTGTATGAATGTTCATTTGCTTCCTGAACAGCTGGTGGCAGTGACTCAGAAGTTAGATGAGCTGTGGAAGTTAGATAACCTGCTGCTGCGGCTACTGCTACTGCTACTGCTACTGCTACTGCTACTGCTACTCCTACTACTACTACTACTACTACTACTATTCCTGCTCCTGCTTTGGGGTGTGGCTTTGCCACAAAACTCTACCCCGCAAAAGGCGAACGTTTGGCGAAAGTTCAGCTCAAGATTGGCGAAAGTTCACCCTGCCACATCTGACCCCCAGCCCATTATGAGTAAGTTTGAGTGACCGGCTAGTACAGTGGTTCTTCCATTTTTGCTTCTTGCTGACACCCAGGAGAAACAAAAGAGACGTACAGGGTGTCAACAGTTAAGTAGAAGACACATGCTGACAAACAGTGAAGTTTCTATTTTGTGCTTGCCAGCAAAGAAGAAGCCATTGACGTGAACAAAACACAACAGACATGGCACACATAAAAACATACTTCGGCGAAAGATAAAACGCAGGAAGGCGAAAGTTTGGAAAACGTATTTTTTGGCGAAAATGACGGATCCCGGATAAAGGAATTTAGATCAACTCCCATATGTGGTAACATGTGATAACAAGGGAACTGGTCTTCTGCTCAACTCGATGTCAACCTCTCGATTGGCTCGATGTCAACATCTTCTACGACTCGACGAGCTCGTGACTCCATGTCGCAACGTCTCGGGAGGCCATGTCGCAACGTCTCGCATCGTCTGTAGAACCTGCACAGGAAAACAGGCTTCATCTACTGACGAATTTCATCCTTTCCTACGACCTTTCCTAATTTGAAGTTTCAAAGGTGTAGTTAAAGGTGTGTGTAAGTTTGGACACAAGTCTAGCACCAAGTGATTTACTACTTCCTTGGAACTGGTCAGGCAAGTTTTGTGCTATGACTTTGTTGAATGCCAAAGCCCCAAGGTTCAAAACCCATCTCTATTCCCAGCAGCTGGCTTTCATGCAACCAGTTGAAAAGCCTACCACCATCTACCACCTATTCTTGTGTCCATTCCTCCTCGTTTCTCCCAGATCCGCCCAGGATTTTGACCTCTGCAGCACAGGCCCTTCTGCGGCTCGGGCGCGTCCCTCGCGGCGTCCCTCGCGCCACCACGGTCGTACGGTCGTCAAGGTTGAAGGATCGGGTCGAAGGATACCGCAGTCCATCGACGTGGGTTTCACACGGGGGGGGCATCAAGTCCCCAAGAAACACGGAGTGTTCAACGTCTTCAGCTTCAACTCTCCCGTTGTGAGAATCTTCCGGGAGAATCTTCTGGATTGACGTGTAGTTGCGCGCTGATACACTGTTCTCTGTGAGTGAATGATGCTATCAGGATTATGCTTACAGAGATTATATACTGAATATTGCTGTTGCTGTGGGCATCAGCACTATCAAAAAAGCTGCGACAAAAATGCACATAACTGGTGGCACAGCACAAAGAACTGTGTCTACAAAGCCATGTGCCTTCAAAGCGACTAATCCTCAGCCTTGCCAGAACCCTTCTACACAAGCAAGCGTGAGAAAACCCCTGGCGGGTTGCTTTTGCAGTGGATGCCCAAGTGTTTCATACATCTTTTAATGATGCTACATGTCATGCCGATTCAAAGCCAAACGTGAAATGGTCGACGTGTCAGCAAATGCCACTTGGCTTTACAACATGGTCATCGTTTCACAGCGCGGTCGACCAATCCCCGCTGTCGACCATGTGACGAACATCGGGGGTCGGAGGAGGGGGGCCCGAGAGTTCCATCAGTAGTTCCATCTCTCTTTTTGGTCATTTGACAGTGCAACAAAACACGTAGTTTCAAACACCTTAAACATATATAGAGTAAACATTTGGGTTTTGACATTGCATATAGTTGTCGGTTTCTATCAGCAGCAAAAGCTCTTGATTTCAATAACCCACCTTCTAGACAGTCAGTTTGACGGTTTGGGTCGGGACTTCTGACAGGTTTTGCCCACTGTCAGCCAGGCAGTGGTCGCAGCAACACCATCCTTGAAGCAGGCCTGTCGCCACAAGGACTGCTGCCAACTTGGGCAGAGACACTCTGGGACGCCCCTGGCAGGATGGCACCAGCTCGTACCAAGAGGTCTTCCAGGCTTTTCCTTCGCGGCAGCACATTCATGGAATTGCTGGGCCGACACTTCCGCGATGAGAGCATTTTGGCAAACAATTCCGCCAAACATGTCAGAAAAACTCCCTTTACAGTCTACTTACAGTCTTGACACCATTTTGGCAAACACCCTTCTCATTCGTCGGTGTGTCAAATACGATTCCTCCACAACGATCTGACCATCGGCATGAGTGCTGCCGTGAACACGTGGAGTCGAGTGCTTGCCGTGGAAGGCTTTTTGCGGTCCACGAAATGCCATGGATGGTGCTGCATTCTCCAAGCTTTGCAAGGCACGTTGACGGGTTCCGGAGGAGGAGGGAACCTGAAAAAGGGAAGGCTGAGGAGCATGACCTCGGCAAAGCAACTGCATGCCATGTCCTTGCCGGTGGCATTGCGCCTCGGGCGCGTTGCGAGACTGCAATGATTCGGTACCTCACAGGTCTTGTACACAAGGAATCGAGGAATCGACGCAGTCTTGCACCATGTCTTGCCAGGACTGCCGCTTACTGGACCGGAGGCATCAGTGATCGGCATACGAGACAGTAATGCAACGTTATGTGACTCCGTGCGCTGGTTTGGGAAACAAGTAACTTGACACTCGAAGCCTGAAAGACATGGGTATACGAAGCCTGAAAGACACGGGTATACCGGTGTACCTACAAAGTTTACCACGGTGCTTTCAAGAATTGTCACTGCAACAATTGACTTTCATGCTAAAACAGGTTGCTATAACAAGCATGGAGAACATGTTCTAGCTGGAGAACGCCAAACTTCTACAACGCTCGAATCATGCTTCCCATCTGACCACAGAGTTCAACTACTCTTTCTCCGAGTGAGTTTTATTGTTATTCACTGGCTGTTTCTGCATTTTTTGCTATTGCGTCGTTAACTTGTTGTTATTCCATTGTTTTACCATGCCGTTGTGCAATCCTGTTTTCATGTTGCATGCCACTGCATCGAAGTTCACCAACACTTGAGCCGCACACTGCTGCCTTGCAGGTTCAGCCCAGCTGATGCAGATTTGATCTTCACAAAGGCGCTGAAGTCAGTAGATGATTGTGCTGTCACAGAGTCTAGCTGTGCAGAGACTCGCAGACGTGGCCAGTTCTTAAACTTAGTTGCTACTGTTGCTGTTCTGGAGTTCCTTACTGCAACTTCAGTTTCTGGATTCGCGTGTGATGTCTCTCTGACGAGCACCCCTTCCTCCAGACCTGAGAAGACAAGTCTGGAGGCCATCGTGTCTGTCTCCTCTGAGTCTCAAGACCTTTCCTCCTCTGCGCAAATTTGTTTGATAGAAGAAATCCCAAATCGTTTGAGACGAAATCGTTGGCCACCGAAGCAGGTTTCGGGCTTTTCATGTTATTTCGGGTTTCGGTCTCCTCTGATGGTCTTCTCCACTGAGGTGTGCCCTCGTGGGCATCGGCGTATTGGCCTGGAGCAGTTTGAAGAGGCGCCCGCCCTTCGCTGCGCCACTGCGCTATCGCGCCGCTGCGCCAGCGATGCGCTGAACGGTCAAGCACGAAGGGACATTCGCCGTAGGTCAAGGGCAGGCAGCCATGGTTTAGATCTACTTTCAATTGGCACACGGTTGTTTCATGGTGTTTCTAGATGTGCTTCTTCAAGAGGAATCCAGGAATAAGACTGCTTTTTGACTGGTGCACTGCTCTTTGCTGCACAGGCTGTTTGGCTGATCGGCCGAAAGCGAGGCGGATTCTTGGGGGGGGGCGGCTCGCAGTGGGGCAGTGGGAGGTTGCCGAAAAACCACGTGTTTGGGTCCGACCTGTCCCTACCGTCAGCGTCCCACTTTTTTGCTCCAAATTTGCTCAGATCTTCCGCTGTTGACCGAGGTTCAAAGGTTCAAAGGCGTCAAGTGAATGGATGTAGGGTAGATCCCTGCGTTCAAAGGGTGTGCCGTTCCCGGAACGCCCTCGTCAGCCAAAGGCCTTAGCTGAGCCAAAGCCGAGTGGTTCTGGAACAAAAGTTGTCGTGCTGTAAAGTTTCAACACGCAAGCACCATTAGTTTTTTGCATTCTCACCGTCCCAAACGCGAGCACAATCCAGCTGGGAACACCTGGTGTTACAAATCCTTTACACACCCTGGAAGAGACCCAAATGGAACCTGAAAACCACCGGGTTGTAGAGGAAAATCGTCTTCCAAAGCTCCATGCCATCAGGTTCCATGTGGGTCTCTTCCACACCGGGTGTACCGAAGGAATGGTCACAGCAGGTCTTGAGTATGGATCTTTGCTGGAGTCGATTGCCAACTCTGCAGGCCGGAATGCGGACCCGGACGGGGCATCGGGGCACGGAAGAAGTGGACGCAGCATGCTGTTTGAAGCGACCGGCATGGACCCAACATTGGAGCCATATCTTAGAGTGTGACGGATTCAGTATGTTTCAATTCAACTATTGACATAGAGGTTGCCATTTTGCAGGAACATTTCTATTTTGCAAGCTATCTTGTGAGTGTTGAGGTTGGTGCGTTGGTGCTTTATGGTTCTGGACACAATAAATATCAGATCACTAATTAATATACAGTGTCACCTCACCAACAGTAGTGGAGATCCGATCAGTGAGCATGATGTGATGAACTCATTTTTTCTGCATGGAACCTGCCCCAAACAGGATCCGGTCGCATCGTCAAACAGAAAGATGGGGTTTTGGGCCCACTGGGAGTTTGGACCGAAAAGAACCTAACTAGCCATGTCGTTTGAGGACATTTGGGGATTTCTCTCCTCACAAATGCCGGTCTTTTGCGATGCGAGGCCCCCTGCTCAAGGCCACACAGACACAGGCCAGACAGTGCTGGGGTGATGGGTGGCAGACAGCCCTGAAGTGGATGCAAGACATGCAAGGCTAAGCCACCCAAAACCATAGACAGAGATGGTTTTCAGGGGGTGTCCGGCGTTGTAGTAAACGCACAGCAAAGCGGGACTAGCAAACGATGCTGGAAAATGACCAAAGCACTGGTAAGCTGTTGCTTGCCATTGTTGCTGTGTAGAACATGATTGGTCGTGGGGAATTGTGAAATTGTTGAGGCCATGAGGAGTTCCTTTTGGCCGCCATATGTCGTGGTTCTCATTCGTATAATGTCAACATGGGAAATCCCGATCTCCATTCGTTGCATGCTTTTTTTTTCTCATTCCTTAGCAGTGTAATATTTGTTGAATGTTCAAGTTGCCTCCACCCAAATCCATTTCCTCCAGGTAACAGCATTACACAAACCCATCATCGCCTGAGAAGCACAAACAAAGGAAACACAAATCACATTTACGATATTTCTACATTTTTTGGTAGGGGTGCACGACATCTACACTGAGCTCAGGCAGAGGTGACGAAGTTTCTCGGCAGATTGAGTTGCGTGTCGAGGGAAATGCATTGGTGCAAGGCGTAAGGCAAACATGCAATTCCATGTTCTGCATCATGTGTTACACTTTGAATGTCTCCGATGTTTTGGAGGGATCAACCCCAGGTTTAGATGGATCATCGCAACAAAAGGATACTGCTGAACGTGCATTGGGAATGGATGGGCAGCCAGGGTTTTGCAGAGACCTCGCGCACCCGCCGTTATCACTCAACAGCACCCCACTCGAGCGCATTACCAGTACCAGTCGATCAAAGATGAACACTATTTTTGAGAAAGGCTTGCAACCTAACCATCATCATCCACTGAAATCTGATAATGGATCTTTCCACAGGTCCACATGGTTGTCCATGGTCCAAGGTTTCATTCGCATGGCGGCTCCTGACAACGCACAGCCGCAGAAAAGGAGCAGGCCACTGCACACCCAGGGGTGAGCATTGTTGAACTAGGTGTGTGTCGCTGATGGTTGACAGTGTTCAGTGCATGATTCCTAAATGATCAGAAAGAGATTCCTCATTGAGATCATCTCATCATCTCACAACATGTGGCAAACACGGAAAAGGCCAAGTCACCCATTGGAGAACTGACTGGGCCCCTGGGACATGTCTTTCCCATCCGATCCTGGAAGCCCTTCGTTCTATGAGCTGAGCTTGAAGACATCTCACGAAACTGGAAACTGGGAACGCAAGGTTCACCCCGAGCACGGTACTTTGGCTGGCCAAACTGGCTTTGATACCAGAGATGTCTAGGCTTCTGCCTTTACAGGAACGAATCTGCAGATCTGAGTCCAGATTCAGCTGAGTGCGTGCATCTGGTGGAGGTCGAACCTCATGCATGTGTCTATTGCCAGTGGATAGCTTCAAACCGGATTTCTCAACAATGCACCATGGCGCACCATGGCGCACCCAGTCAGCTTAGGAAGGCAGCAGAGCCTGCCAAGTCGGCACCGAAGTTAAACCACCAACTGACGTGCGTATCGAAGTCGCTCTACCCTCTACAAGTTCTTGTGAAAGGAGGTAAGGTGTGACATGGAAACTTGGGGAGCCCAGAGCAACAGAGATATTCAATTCCAGAGAACTTCAGAGAGTCGAGCCCTTGTGTCAATGTCAAGGGACCGTTTGATGGACCTCGGGCTTAAGATGGGCCCACGTGGAAGGATTTGATGAGAAGATGTGCGAGAAAAGTGGCAGATGTGCTCCAAAAAGGAGCTTTCGTGCTCAGTACAGAGCAGGTTGGGATGTTCTCACAGTGTGTGATTCTATATTGTATATATAAATATAAATACAGCTAGTATACATAATATGGATGCAAAACATCACCGATTCGTGCTGGTGAGCGAACCACTTTAGTCGCTCACCTTGGTGGAGTGATGCATCTGGACGGATCGTCACCTGGAAGGGCCATGCATGGTCACCTGGATCGTGACATCAGGAACTCATTTGCCACATGAGTTGAAACTGGTTGTCATGCAGATGATTCTCAATGCTCTCTGAATGCAAGTGCTGTGTGAGTGGCACTTGGACATGCCGATGGCAGTTTCACTTGCGTCGTTCCACCGCGGCAGTTTCGCGCAAGCAATCACATACAGGACAGCGCAGGCCACCGTGCATTGGCCAAGAATGCTTTAGCACACACGCACTCATTGAGTGCAAAATTCGATCAAAAGCAGCTAAGCACATGATATGCAAAAACAGTTTCTCACCCACGACCGACATGCTGAAGTGGCCAAGACCGACGACCACGACCGACCTGTTTCAAGCAGCCGACCCGAAGATGTTGAGCCATGTGCCTTTAGCCTCGGTTCAAGAGCTCAGTGAGGGAGGCGAAAATAGGTATATATATAAATAAACACAAAGAGAAAGGTCCAAAGGCTGTCCGACTTGGAGCATAGGTACTTGGGCAAGAGTTTTTCTTCCATTGCTGCTACATTGCGGCTACATGTGTAAACCGGACGTGTTTGAAGGTCTATGTTTTTCTTGTCGAGAACACGCGTTCCGTTGGCCGAAGGCCTGAGGCCTGAGGCCTTGGACTTCCGAGGCCCCAAAGGCCCTGCGTTGGAGAGCAATTCTGGCCTGGCCCTAAGATGCCAATCCCTGGCCTGGCCCAACCTACCATGTGACTGAGGGTTTTGGGCGATTGCAAGATGATGTCCATTTAGACGCTAGTAGGTTGGAGGCCATCGCTTCTATATATAGGTTAAGTTTGGAGGCAATTCTAAGGCTTCAGATGCCAGGCCCCCGATGTGTTCAGAGCGGCTGAGTCCGAATTCCTTGAAGACTTCTGGCCGTCGATTTGACTTGGCAGGTGACAACACTCTGCTGCTGGGTACAGAGCTTAGCAAGTTTCCATGTTTATCAGGACTTGCTCTCGTGACAGCCCTTCAAAGCTAAGTAGGGATACCAGGTGAAATGTCTTGGGGCTGGATTTGCCTTGTGGGCATGAAACACTACGAGTTTCATACAACTCGCCTCCTGTGAAATGTCTTGGGCTGGCTCACTTGTCTGTCAGGCATGGCGAGAAAGCTTTGTCACCGGCAGGCAAGGATGAGATGGGGAGCACCCAAACCAGCAGCTTGGATGTGCGGTTCTAAAACTTTGTTTCTCCTAGCTACGATTTCGTCTTTCCATGGCCCAACATGGAAAGATTTGGAAAAAGGCGGCTGGAGAATATCATGGAAGAGAGAGAGAGAGAACAGGACCCCATATTTGCGATGTTTTGACTGCTTGTGCCAAGTCTTTCTCTAGGCAACTCATTGTTTCGCAGAGTTAGAGTCTTTGTTCAGAGGCCCTGGCGAGAAACGCCCAAAAGGCACGTCGATGCGAAGGCGGCTCCAAGCCCCACGGCGGCTCCCCATGCGCGTGAGTGAGCTTGAACATGTCGGCCAGTTGCTATGCATCGTCCGGGGGTCGGGGGCGCGGTTCCTGTTCTTTGCCCGTCTTCTTGGTGAAATGGATCGAAGAAAGAAGGCCATTGGTCAACACCACGGAAAAAGGATGCTTCTTTGCTTCATCCTGTTTTCAGCACCTCTTGTGATCCCAGTGTTTGATCGTCAGCTTCGTAGCGACCTCGCAGGTTTCCATGCTCGCGAGCATGGCGCGGCCATCTCAAACAGTGGGTGACCAAGGCTGTTTTGGCGTTGAGATCTTTCTTCCCCTTGAAAGAAGCAGCCTGATGTAATGGCTTTCACCTGCTTATTTTGGAGTCTTTCCTCCATGAGGGTGAATAGATTCGAAGGCTTGGGGCAGATCACGTTCAAGATGCTAGGCTGGAAATCGGACTCTGTGCCTCGCCGCACTCAGGGTCCGTCTGACTTTGGCCGAGCTCTTCTGATTGAGCTGCGAGCTTTGAAGGCGATCTGGGAAACGCGAAGTAAATGCGCCGATCACAGACTCTTTCATGATCGAGATCCAGCCTACAAGACCCCTTGGTTGAACCTTGAGTATTTCATCATCCAGGAAGTTCGGGTCACCATGCAAATGATGTGGGATGGTGCACTTGAGTGGGCAGGTCTGAAGAAAAGACAAAGGGCCTTCCCCGGCTTCGGTGAAAGAACGTTCAATGCCATGGACATTCGATGGCGGATTTCGTCGTTTTCATCGGCAGGGCCTGGACAAGGATGTCCATCTTAGTCTTCAAGATGACGACCTGCGTTCGGATGCAGAGTTGGGTCACGTTGCTTTGGTTCAACCATGTTCCACTTGGCTTGGTTTGATTTGGTAGCTTGCAGACTTTTTATCTCCAAACAACCTCACCAAAGCGTTTCCTTTTTTATTCTTGAGACTTCGCCGGAGTTTGCAGCAGTTGAACACATCTTAATTCTATTCCTTCGACAGTTTCCCATTTTCAGCACTGGCCTGGCGCAGAACCAAGTATTGTGCACCTTTTCATGACTTTTGTTACATATTTGAAGGTTCCCACACAACTTCAGAGCAAGCAGGCTGCGGCGATGCTCCTTTTCACAGAACGCACTGGCATGCACTAAGACCGCCACGCTGCGCGGGACGCACTGCGTGCTGAAGCCCTGGGCGAGTTGGATCAAATGGAGGTGGGAAGAAGACCAACCTCGCCTCACAAGAAGCTACTAGGAGCAAAGGGCATCGCTACTAGGAGCAAGGACGTTACGAACGGGGCTCCTGGCATCGCCTCGTTTGCGTCTTCGTCTCGACTGGACGTTATCCTTTCGGGCGCTCCCAGGTGCCGCACTTCCATCCAAACGGGCCGGGTGGCGGGCCCGAGATGAGTGAAGAGTCGAACGGGGACAGGGCCCACGGTCGGCCCACGGTCGGCCCACGGTCGGTCTCGTCAGCGCGAGGTTTGAGAAATCACATAATGATTTCAACATAGTTTGATGGAATTCTGGTAGTTCATACTTGGTAGTTCCTTGTTCGTTCTTCAACAAAGACTTTGTTTCACTGTGCTTCGATTCAACTTCTGCACGGAAATGCAGCAGGACATGCAGTTGTTTTGTTGTTAGGTCTGACTCAGCCGCAGCTCAAGAGATTGGCAACGGAGCTTTACTCCGAGGTGGGATGTGGGACTGTTAGCAGTTACTAGGCATCCCACATCATTCCCACATCATCCCACTATTCGCATGGTTTGGGTCCAGGTGGTGCAAGATTTCTGGCATCTTCCGGCATCCAAAATGGCAAGAACGGCCCAAACCGCGGTGCTCGCAGGATGCAGTGACGCTCATCCAGCCCTATGTGATGAGTCTCATCGAACCGCCTGGGAGCTCAAACGGAGCTTGACCGGAGCTCAACCGAAAGGCCAGGCTTTTCTGGCATTTGGACAGGGTGAGATAGGTTGAGGTTGGATGAGGATCAGTTCATGAACCCAACCCACTAGGCATGTGTATCGGGACATGTAGACCATTGTGGACCTTGCAAAATCGACTCTTGCTGAACCTCAACCGGACATTTGATCACGGGCAAACACACGAAGATCTACAAAACACAGCATATAGGGCATCAATAAATCCTACTGACCATTAGGTCCCTCTGAGTCTTTTTCCCTTTTGAACACAAAACCGTTGGGCTGTGCCCGGCTGTGCCCGGCTGTGCCCTCTGTTGCGGTCCAACTCAGGTGGGACCATCTTGTTCGGGCTCGGGAAGCCCAGCGAAGTCGATAGCGTGACCCTGTCGCGCAGCTGTGTAGCTGGTGATTGAAATCACGAAAGGACCCACCAACGACAGGGATTTCCTTTTGCTTCTTCCATGATGGATTTCTGTTTTCCAAGGCTGTATGTTAGTAACTGTCTGTTTCTTGGAGGCCCCTGGGTCCTCTGTCTTGTTTGTTCTGCAGCAGAACAAGCTCTGAAGAAACAGCTCTATCAAAGATGTATGAATTTTTAGATGAGCTCTCAGTCGTGATGGGTGGCCCTTCGAGAAGCTGTGTATCGCCTGGAAGAAGCTGTGATAAGAACCGAATCCAAACGATGGCTCGATGGATTTGGGTTTGGTGGC